TGTTATGTCCTAATCTGTGGAGACATTCAAACACCGACTTGATATACACATGTTACAGCACAACGGGAACTATGTGACAAATTAGCCTCGAAACAACATTGGACCATGTGAGGCATATTTTTCCTGACTGAAAACGTTAACATTGTTTATTAATTCTTGAGATTTTGATGTGACAAATAGGGAGTTCAAAGGCGCAAACCTATTTTTCCCTCAGATATACAGACTGACTGACTAACCACACTTAGCAAGCTGTTAAAACCCGCTCCTGGTACTTCTGATTAATACGAACGGGTCTCAACAATTGGCGACGCAGTTTTTTTCAATCTACAATGGAGATATCGTGCACGGACTTGAAGTGAATGTTGCAACAATAGCTGAAGCTGATGGAAACCCTCACCACTAAGATATTTACTACCTCCACGGGCCAATCGAGTTCTGCTGGAATCTCACAATCCGTCGATTCCATCGCCAGCAGTATTACGGGTTTCTTGTGGGACCCGCAGCCCCAAGTTACTTTTGAATCCTCGTACAAACGATATGATGATTTATCTTTTGTCAATCTGGCTGCCCAGGAAGGTACGACTCCTCCTTCGCAAACTGGATCGTGCCGAGCACGAACGCTACGCCATCTTCATTTTGCCCAAGAATCCAAGGGAAGTTTCCTACGCGGACACGCTAAAGACATTTTCGTAGATTTTTGTTGAGCAGCCTTCACTATTCAACACCGGATTCCAGTGCCTTCAGCTACGCAAACGAGAATCACACGATTTAATCACGTACGCCGGTATTGTGAAAATCGCGAGTGTGGGCGTTTTCAACTCGGTTCTCCCACAGAAGACCAGTTCAAATGCCTTATCTTCATCTGCGGCCTTCAGCCTCCCAAGGATGCCGACATCCGAACGCGTCCTCTGTCCCAGGTGCAACAGAGCAGCTCAGTTACCCTCCAAGAACTGGCTGCTGAATGTCAAGCACTCGTCAACCTCAAGCACGATTCGGCCATGGTCTAGGGCGTTTCTATTGCTGGCCCAGTGAATGCGGTCGCAACAGTTAAGCCACCTCTGTTTAGGCGGCCCAAGCCACCTTCGGTTTTGCTGCCCAAGCATGTCCCCAAGGTGAAATCCCCGCCTTCTCCTTGTCGGCAGTGTGGCTCCTGGCATTTCAATCTATACTGCACGTTTTGGCAACATCGTTGCCAGAAATGTAAGCAGGTTGGGCACCTTGATGGGTTCTACCAATCCTCAACTCCTGTAGGCAAGCCCTCTCCTGCCAATTCCAATCAAAAGCGCCGCTTCAACCCGAAAAAGCAACTCAAAGACAGACTCTCAGAAATTATCTGAGTCTGTCAGCCACATTCCAGGTTAACGCAGCTGATCGTCGGAAGTTCGTTTATCTACTTCTCAACGGCCACACAGTTCGCCTACAACTGGACACCGCTTCAGATATCCACAATCATCTCTGAGACTCTCTGGCAGTCACTTGGCGCCTCCACAATGCAGCAGACTTCTCAGTCCACCGAAAGTGCGTGCAGTGGCCTCATCCAGTTAATGGGGCAACTGCAATGTTGCGACTCCTTCCACGACACTAATATCACTGCTACCTGCCTCATTACCAAGTCTCATCTAAATCTTCGTGGTCTTGACTGGATTGATCA